TTTTTTTTTTTTGGTGAAAATGGCTTTTCAGAACTTTTATCTGAGAATTAACGTGAGCATTGCTTCTGTTGTGGAAATGGTGTGGAATTATAAAGATTATTTGATGCCACAGACAATTAAAAGTACTGATTTTTTTTCCTTAATAAATGATAAAATACATAAGTTTAGAATTAGGGTGATAATTATTGTAGTAGTAATGTGTTGTTCCCATATTCAAGAATTTTCATGCCCCATACAAAGGAATTTGTATTAAACACATAGTTGTAAAATTCAACCAACATGTTAAACATGTTTCTAAACAAAATGTTCATAAAAGAAAACAGTACAAGCCAAGTCTTTTTTCATTCTCTTTCTTCCATTCTCTAAACATTTGTGCATCTGTTTTGTAATGCATTGCATTATATATAGAAGAAGAATATTTGAAACAAAAGAAATGTTCAATAACACAAAAATGATTACATGAATAACTGTCCAAAATGTTGGAAGATTAATTTTCTTAAGTAGTACTTAAGAATAGAAGAAATCCTTTTTAGAAACTTCCGAAGAATAGATAGCAAATATAGACTTGGGTACCCTCCTACTTAATTAGTTTATAGAATAGTTAAAGATAGAAGATAATCTTATATTTATCTAATTTAAATCCAGTTTGAGCTTTAAGATTGTCATGGATTGAACTGTGTCCCCCAGAAATATGTGTCAACTTGGTTAGGCCATGTTTCCCAGTATTGTGTGGTTGTCCTCCATTTTGTGGTTGTAATTTTATGTTAAAGAGGATTAGAGTGGGATTGTAACACCCTTACTGATCCAGTGTAAAGGGAGTTTCCCTGGAGTGTGTCCTGCACCACCTTTTATCTCTCAAGACATAAAAGGAAAGGGAAGCAGGCAGAGAGTTGGGGACCTCATACCACCAAGAAAGAAGCACTGGGAGCATAGTGCATCCGTTGGACCCGGGGTCCCTGCGTCGAGAAGCTCCTCAACCAGGGGAAGATTGATGACAAGGACCTTCCTCCAGAGCTGACAGAGAAGAGAAAGCCTTCGCCTGGAGCTGATGCCCTGAATTTGGACTTGTATCCTACTAGATGGTGAGAGAATAAATTTCTATTTGTTAAA